TGGCTTGAGAAGTTGATGTCACTAGTCCAAAGAAGAGCCTCACAGAAAGAAAGCCCAGCAAGTTATATCTCTGATTTCTTTAACAAATATTTATCGTGAACCCACTATGTGCCGGAAAGTAGGCCAACAGTAAGCAAGACAACACAGACAGAGCCTTGGCAGAGTCTGTGATTATTTCATACTTTACTGAGAGGTGGTGTTAACTTATGCTTAGCTCCTTTCATTTTAGTTCATGAAGTGAGGTTTGATCCTTTCTGGTGCTGTCCATGAGTAGAGGTACGGGGCGGCGGGGTAGGGGAAGAGCTACAGACTGTTTTATCTTACACTTAACTGCAAAGTCATGTTTCCTGGTAATTACTGTGTGTGGATTACGGAATAGTTCACCTTGTTTTACTTTGGTCTTTGTATGGGAATATCATTAGCATTTCTAACACATGCTTTTTTAAAATATAAATTGTGAAAATGGACAATTATTCAGCTGCAAGATAAAACCCAGAAGTCAGCATGATGACACCCTTTCTACCCTTGCCTTCCCACATGGGAAAACAAGTAGAGGGCCAATACAGTTCAGGGTAGGATTTGTGCAGACTAATTATTTTAGCCCCGAGGGTGCTGGGAAGGACTGGGAGAAGGCCGGCAGGTTCATGGACTCTCTTCCTTCCCACACTTCTCAGTAGTCTGCTGACAATAGAATTTTCACATGACCTCATTTTGATTCATTCTCCTGGATTTTTACAACTCGTGCCAAACCTGAAGGTGACTCGGTACTGATGGAATAAAGCGCCAAGGAATTGTATATTTAAGAAAAAAACAATTAAGTGCCAAGTGCCCAGCCTGAAGTTTATTTCATGCTGGAAGCTGCAAAATGCCGTAGGCAGACAGCAGATCCCTCTGTCTTTTCTTTACCTAAACTTCCTTCGTTTACAAGAGACTACAGCAAAGAGGATTCTTTCAATAGAGCAGAAGGCAAGGTTAGATCTCTGGCTTTCCGTAGGCCACTGGCAGCCTTTGTGTGATTGTGTATCTTTCTCTGGAGGTGGCCACCCCTTCACTGTGGTAGTGGGTAGACCTCATTGTTCATTGTGAGGTTTAACTTACAGAGCTAAACTGAAGGAAATGCATATCCTTTTCCTCTTTGATGCAAGCTGGAAAGATGATTTGGGAATAGAAATTCAACAAATATGTTCTCAATTCAGCTTGCCAAGATGAAGAACTAGAAAAAATATTGGCCCCTTGGAGATGTTTTTGTATTTGCAGAGGATGAAAGGAAATTCAGTCCAAAGGGGAGTCTCCCGGCCAGGATGGAAGAATTCCTGATGTTACTGATGAACCACTCTTCGCGCCCTTTCTTTCAGAAGGCCCCTCTTCTTACGTACACACTCAGGGACAGTTCCCACAGAGACCCTAGGACGGCAGTGGCTTTCTTACCCTTGCCCCACTTAACGCAGATAAATCCGGGATAAGCTAAGATGGTAGGCTTGGGGTCCATGAGCTTCATTTTTCTTAATACAAAACGAGCCTTTTTCTACAATTCCGTTTTAAAAACACACCTTCTAAATAAGAACAATAGCACAGGTTAAGCTGCCAGGTTTGACTACCTGCAAATAGGAGGATAAAAACCTTTCTGCACAAAAACTCGTAGAACTCTATTGTCCAAGAATGACAGCAACTCACCAGAATTCATACTGGTTTCGTAAGATTCCATCCAGACTTTCCATTGCAGAGAAGCACTTCTCTTCCACACAGGCCTATCCAGGTGTCATTCAGTGTCATTCATTTATCATCAGCCAAGCAACAGGTTCTTCTGAAATTCCCTTCTCAGGCTTCAGGAGCTGGGTGACTGCAGGCGGATTGGGAAGGACGCTGTGTCTGCCACACCCTCTCCCCTTTGGCTTGGACAGAAGCGGCAGGGGTCCTGGTTGATCCAGAAGCAGTTGGTGGCTTTTTTGTGGCAAATCATCATGACTATCCAGTGTCCAGCCATAAGCTGCAGGTGGGAGCCCTTCAGGCCTTCACTGTCTTCTTGTCCTCTCACAAAGGGGTTGGGTAAGAGGAGGCAGGCTCTGGTGACAACAACAAGCCCACTTCATTTCCCCACAGCTCCTCACAGGTTCCCTCAGCACTCTGGGCCTTGGCTGTTAACCCCCTACTCTCCGTCTGTGTCTGTGCGCATCCTCTCCCTCCTGGTGTTGTCTCCTGCTCCGCTCCCCCTCAGGCTGTCCCGCCCCTCTCTTCTAGAAACTTTTCTTGGAACTTGCCTTCTTGAGACCTTCCTTCTCAATAACTCCTCCCTGTTCCCACCTTAGGACTAGAAACTGCACCCCGATATCCTCTGTTCTAAAGTTGCCTCAAGAAAGGCACCAAGGACAAAGATGGCCTATGTGTAATGTGACATCTGGAGTCTGTTTAATACACACACACACACACACACACACACACAAACAAATGCTCAGTGAGTGACAAGAAGCCAAGGAGGTGAGATGCGCACATTGACAGTTAAACAGCAGGATGAGGGGCAACCGAAGTGCAGAGGATGTGGCCTTTAGCATGAAGGAAAGAGGACGATGGGGACTACTCCTGACCATCTTATGTGGTGGTGACGATGGAGTAAGAGAAAGTATATGTAAAGGGTCTGGCCTCAGTAAATGAATATTGCTATCATTAGTCCTGCCTGAATAGTTCTGGCAATTATCTTTCTGTAAAAATTGACACAAATTATTTGTTCATCCTTGACTTCACAGAAATCTAGTAAATACAAACTAAATAATATAAAAGAGGAAGTGAAAAATGGGGGATGTGTTTCTTGTGCTTAAATGCAAGATGCTGGGATTCACATGTTTAACTTAGAATGATTTGAAGATTCTGGAATTCTTAATCATTTGCTACTTCCAATAAGAAGTCTCCCTGTCTATGGGTCTTTCTACCTTAAAGTAATTTAGATAGTATTACTAGTAAAACAAAGATATCCAGTGGACGTTAAAATTTTTGTGCTCCTAAAGCTGAGGCAAAACTTGCCCCTTCTCCATTATCTTTCCTCTGTAATTGAGACCTCTGACCATTGTGATATTTAAACATGGGCCTATGCTGCCCTCTAGTGACAACTTAGAGAAGCAGAAAAGTGTACAAAATCAGCATTTGTGGGGAGGAAAATGAAGCTATCACCTTAAAACTAAGCATGTAAATGATCCCATTCTCTAAAGTGAGATTGCAAAAAGAAAACGCAAAACGGCATACCAAATTCTGCCAAATTATTTCTAATCTTGCTGAATAAGTAAGATTGATAGAAAACCAAATAGAAGATTGCTTTCATGGAAAAAATATATAAAGATATTTTGGACATTATATACGCATATGTGTATATATTTATATATATGTAGGCACGTTTTTAATGATCCATCTAATCCTACCAAAAATCAAATATATTTCATTTCATGTGACATTATGTATTAACATATCAATATGAGAGTTTATTTGGCATGATGGAGAATTTTGTCCGGCGCTGAGCACTGCTCCTTTAACTGTGGATCCATGCTCACTCTTCCTTGTGAGTCTGTGCACTCTGCCTTCCTGCATATTAACCCCTGTGTGGTCTTTACATGTACCAACCAGGGTAAGTCTCACTGCTTGTCAGTGGCATCCACACTTAGTAACAAGGTCAGGTAGAAATCTGGAAGGTTTCAGAAAAAATGATGTCTTATTGGTATCAAAGGCCCAGTGAAACACATCCATTATCCTTGGTATCTGATATTTCCTTGCAACATCCTGTGGCTTCCTGAAGTGGCCAGAACTATCAAAAATACAAGTGGCTATTTTAGGTGTTCATATTATCCATTTTACAGATGGAGTCAACCACACTGCTCTTTCTAGTGGTCATTTATATTTAACCTGTCCCATTCATTCAGGTGAGCTGACCTTCCTACCTAGGAAGCCAGTATATTTACTAAGCATAAACTATATGTGCCAGTTGATGTTCTAGGAAATAATCCTTGACCTTGAAGGGTTCATAGACTAATGAGGATGGTAGACATATGAACAAATACTAACAGAAAGGTACAGAGTGTCTTTAAAAGGTTGTCCAGGACCCTGTACCTCAGAAGGGGGTTAGTATCTGGGAGACATTCCCCCAAAACTTGATGTTTCTCATTTGTGTCCCCTTGATGGTCCAGTAACACAACAATGTGACTATTATAGCACCTTCAGTCTCTCCTTTGGTGAAAAGCTTTTTAATACATAGTACCAATGACATATCACAGCCTGGGTGACAGGTGGCTGTCTCTTTTCTCCTTTGTGGCTAAGGCTAGGGAATTCTGTCACTCACTGAGTGTATTAATTATCGATTGCTGTGTAACAAATTACCCCAAAACTTAGTGGCTTCAAACAACACATAGCTATTGTCTTACAGTTTCTGTGGGCAGGAGTCCACATGGCCTAGCTGGACTCTGAGCTTCAGGGTCTCCCACAGGCTGTAATCAACTGGGTTAAGACTAGCCTCCAACCTTATTCAATAATCGGTAGGTGTTTAGTCCATTTGGGCTGCAATGACAGA